CGTACGTTCCTTCCGAGGGCCGTTAGCCGCGGCCCCTCCTCCCTGCCTGCTGGCCTCCATCCTGGTTACAGGGCCCACAGACCTCTCAGCCGCACACATCTGCATGGTCAGTGTCCAGTGTCGGAGTCACCCATGCCCAGACACATGGGGACCCGACCTCTGCGTTTCTGCACTCTCGGCCCCCAGGACCCGGCCCCGACCCCCACGGGCGTCCCTGTCCCGGCACCTAGCGAGAACGTGGGGAAGGAAGAGGACCCCGGCATCGGGGACTACGACTACGTGCCCATCGAGGACTACTACACGCCACCCCCTTACGAAGACACCAACTACGGGGAAGGCCTGGAGAACCCCGACCAGCCCACCGACCCTGGCGCAGGGCCCGAGGCTCCTGCCAGCACCGTCGTCACCAACTCCTCCAACGTAAGGGCCTTCCTTCCCAGCTGGCGTGGTCCAGGGGAAAGGGAGAGGGGCCAGGGTCGGGGCCGGAGCCAGGGCTACCTTGGAGCTCAGGCCCTGCATGCCCCCTCCCACCATCTCTGACCCGGTCCCCGAGGCCCTGGTCCTGGGGGCTTCATGGCCGCCGTTGCTGTGTTTCCTGGGGAGGTCTGGCTGAGCCAGTCTGGAGCCCTGGTTTGCTCAGCTGGCTCAGTGAAGTGGCTAGAATGAGCCCTTCGGGCCTCCGGGCTTCCGGTGAAGGGATAGGGTCCCACTCGGAGATGCTCACATAAGGCCGGTGGTGCTGGCTCAACCCACCGCCCCATCAGTCCGGGGCTCGAAGTCTGGCGTGGTCCCTCTGGGCCCAGGGTTCTCTGTTATAGCCTGGCGCCGGCAGGGCTGCCTCTTGGGGTGAGGCGTTGTCACTGGGGAGGGCTTTCCCCAGCTCACGGCACGGACAGATGCCGAAGTGCCAGCAGTGACCCCAGGCCTTGACCATGGCACTGGGGAGGTATTATCCTGGGACCCAGAGGCCCTGGGCTGGCCCTGGCTGGCAGACCCTGCCCTGGCTTGGCCCAGCACCTGGCGTGTTTGGGGACAGTTTCCTCCCTGGGAGGAGACATGTGGAGAGGCTCCAGGAGTGTCAGGACTTCTCCAGGCTCCAGGCCTGTGACCTGGGAAGCCATCGGCCTTCAAAGTCCTGGGGTTGCCAGACCCAGAGCCCATGGGGACTGGGGGAGCTCTGGGTTTACCTGGCACGGCAGAGGGAGGGCCAGCGTGTTGCAAGCTGTGTCCTCATGGTGACACCGCCGTCTGCTCCTGCTGTGCCTGCATAGCCGGCCCCGGCCCCAGGGGAGGAGAAGGAGGACCCGGAGGGTGAGTTCACGGAAGAGACTGTCAAGAACCTCGACGAGAACTATTATGACTCGTACTACGACCCCACGGCCGTCGCCCCCTCGGAGATCGGGCCGGGCATGCCAGCCAACCAGGACACCATCTACGAGGGGGTGAGCGGGCGTGGGCTGGCTCCGGGCAGGGCTGGCGGGCTGTGGCTCAGCGGGGCTCCTTCCTGTGAGCCTGCCTGGGAGGGGCTGGTGGGCTGCAGAAGGCTCGGGTGCTCAGGGCGTGACTGTGACGCCCTTTTACCCTGGCACGGCCAGCGCTGATCTGACCCGGTCCTGCCGGCTGCGACAGTGCACCACTTTGCCGAGTCACGTGGCTCCATGTAACCGCGACTCTCTCCTCTCATCACCCCAGATTGGAGGACCGCGGGGCGAGAAGGGCCAGAAGGGCGAGCCTGCGGTCATTGAACCAGTAAGGAACTTTTCCTACCGTCTCTGAGACCAGGGCGGGGTGGGTACATGGGGTCGCCCGTGGCATGGTGCAGTGACGGTCACCTGTCACTAAGCCCTGCGACTGGCCCTGCAGACCCCCACTGAGGAGGTGGGGTGCGTGCTGGGCCGAGCCCTGCACCGTCGCGGGGATCTGAGCACTTCTCTGTCTGACCTGGGGGAAGTGCCACACTCGGAGAAGGAAGGCTCTCTGGGGGCTGGGGAAGAGGGTGGCCGACTCCGGGCCGAGCCGCGCGAGCAGCCGTGTGCTGGCCTGCTTGTGAAACCGTGTCCGGGGACGCTTGCTGGCGCTGTGCGGATTCTCGCGGAGCGAAACCTGCTGCGCCAGGTCGCAGGGTCATGGTGAGTTAGAATCTGTTGCTGACAGTGTCCCAGAGCACGGCGCCCTGCTGGAGGGTGTTCTAGACTCCCCCCGGGTTGGTGGGCTTGGTGGGGACCCCTGTGCTGGCGTGTCCTCATCCCTAGGGAGCCTGTCTGGTCTGAGTAGGGAGGTCAGGGCCTTGTCCCCACACCTCAGCAGGGGATGCCCAGGCTGGGCAAGGCTGGGTGGGGCCAGCAGCTCCACAGTGTGGTGAGGGGCTGTGGGCAGCTGTCTGCACAGGCCCAGCCCCGCCATGCCCACCCCATGCCAAGGGAGGAGGAGCCTGGCCTACACCACAGCTGCTCACGCTCCTGAGAGCCGAGCTCAGTACGGCCTCGGGGCCTCCTGGGAGTCTTGCTAACCTTGGGGTCCTGGGCCCCCGCCCTCCTGCAGAACTGGGGAGGTTCTCACGTAGCCGGCCCTTGTCTCTCATAGGACCTGCGCCCAGCCCTGGCAGGGCTGGCCAGGCGAGTTCGTCTTTGGGTGGAACTCCTAGGGGCCATGGGCCCACTTTCCTGGCCCACAGGAATTCCCAGACAGCTCCTGTGGGGCTCTCTGCCCATCTAGGCCCCTGCTGAGGATGGGCCTGTCCACCCCACTGAGCCGTAAGCCACGTCCCACATCTCGCCCTTCCCTGTAGGAAGACGGGCCGTGTGAGGCCAGGCTGGGGAGCAGAGGCATGAGGAGGCCCGGCCAGGCCTTCGCTCAGCAGCGGGGACCTCCCAGGGCAAGCCCAGGTCCGAGAGGACAGCGGCCCTGGGGGAAGGAGTCCAGCTGTTGGCTTGGGCAGACCCATCCCTACGGAATGCGCGAGTCGCTCGGGGCTTTTTCCTGCGGTGCATGGTTCGCTTCTCTGAGGTCCCAGCCACACCCTGGGGCATGGGGCTCCGGCCTCATTCCCCGGGTGGTCTGGGGCCCCAGATGGACTCGAGGTTGACTTGAGGCTCCTTTCGTGGCGCCCTCATCGCTCCAGTGGAAGAGGAGAAATGGAACCCAGGAAGGGTCAGTGCCCATGGCTCTGGGCGTCCTGGGTCTGGACCCCACTCTGGGAGGGGCTGAGGGGACGCCCATGAACGAGCCCCACGCTTGCTCACACCCCATGGACGTGGGGCCTGAGACCCAGAGTGGCTGTGGGTGAGGGGGACATGGGGAGGCCCTGTGAGGCCCACGGCAGGCAGGGCCCGGCTGGACCTGAGGAGGGGCCCACTCAGATGTCACTCCGGAAGCTCATTTCATCTTCGCGGGGGAACACAGCCATCTGGATTTAGTGAGGGAAGGCCCGGCCCGTCTGTCCGGCATGTCCGCAGGGCTGTGGACCAGGCCCCGGAGACGGAGTGAGCAGCTGGAGTCTCGGCCTGGTGCGCGGCCAGACGTCCAGTCTCCGTGAACCGATGCTCGCATCCCAGAGCCCTGTTGGGTGGGTGCCCGTAGTCCCGGCTGCTCCGTACCTGTCACACGACATCACTCCTGGGACCTGCGGCTCACGGAGAACGAGCTCCCTGCCAGCCCGTGCCAGCACCCCCAGACTTAGCCAGCTGTGTGCCCTCAGAGCTGGCGGCTCTCTAGGAGGGCGGGAACCCACCTGGCTGTCAGCTTCCGTGCTCGGCTCTGCTCGGCTCAGGGGCTCGAAGTCCTCGGCTCCCATGGCTTCTGCCACCTGAGGACGTCCCTGGGGCGGCCGAAGCACGGGCCTGCCTTCTGCTGTTTTGATGGTCGTTGTCCGACAGAAGGACGGGCCTCGTGGGTGGGTCAGTCCAGATGGCCAGTTCCTTTCTCACCGTCTGCGCGGAAGGCGGCCCGGTGTGTGTACCTGGGTACGCACAGCATAGCCGAGCGTGCACTCTACCCGCATGCCGGCAGGCCTCCACCTCGGACTTTCTGCCGCGGTATGGGGGCCTAATGTCCACCGTCTTGGCCAGTGGCCAGCACGGCACGCTCTTGCCTGTGGTCAGCCTTTCCTGAGCTCCACCCCTGACGGGCCTGGAGTCAGTGGTGGGGCCGACTCGCCCAGGACAGTAGGGGCCGCGGTGGCCATGGTGGGCTCTGGCTGACGGCTTAGCTAGGCAGGTTCGGCGCCCTTGCTGGCTCGGTCCCCTGGCCTCCCCCTGCTGACCGGTGTGGCCTGAGTTGGCCCTCCCATGCAGTCCCAGCCAGCCCAGCTCGTCCCAGCACCCCAAGAACAGCAGTTTATGTGTCTGGGAACACAGCTGTGGTCCCCCGGCCCTGCCACGACCAGCAGCTTCTCCCTTAATCTCAGCTCAATCTCTGAGCCCCCTCAGCTGCGCTCAGGGAGGAAGTGGGGAGTGGGCCTTGCGCCGCTGTTTGGATGAACTCTCCACCACACGTGCACGCTGACTCGAGGGGACATCTGTGCAAACACAGCGTGTGTCTCCCCAGCGATGGGAGCCCAGCAGGCAGCGTGGGGGCTCTAGCCCCTGGCCGGCACGCTGGCGACCTCGGGCCTCAGGCTGCTCTTCAGAAGCAAGTTGTCTGTCTGTCCTGTGGTGCTGGAACAGATAGTGCAGAGCGTGTGCTCACCCTGACGTGGCTCACCGGCTTGGCGTCGTAGGGCTGGGACGGCCCAGGCCTGGGCCCGGCGAGGCCCCTGTAGCCTCACAGCGTGGTGGAGGGCGTGGCGTGGCGGTGGGGAGGGAGCGCAGTCATCCATCTGGGACAACTCCCTCAGGCCCTCCTGCACCTGCTTGGGGACTGAGCCCGGGGGACACTTTCCCACCCCAGCACAGGACAGCTGCTTACCTTCAAAGAAGTGACGCCCAGCAGTGTCACGGTCTCAGAGTGTGGTGGCTCTGTCCTCAGATCCGGGGAGTGGGGCAGCGGGTCCCCTGGCGTCAGGTGCCCCATTAGCGAGTCACGGACAACAGTAGGGGGAGGGTGCCATGCTCCCCACCGGGCAGCCTTCCTGGCGGGGCCGACAGAACAGTCACAGCCCCAGGACCCTGGCAGTTGTCCCCTCCACAAATCCCTGTCTGGGCGCCAGGCCCTCTCCCTGGTCACCTGGACCCTCCTGACGTGGGTGTGGGAGTCGAGGACGGGTGGGGCTGACCCCAAGGTGCGGGTCAGGAGGGAAGGGAAGGTCCTGTCCTGGGCAGGGGGTGCCATGGGGCTGGAGAGCAGGGAGTTGAAGCCACACTCCCGTGGCGGCCTCCATGGCGGCCCCCCCGGGCGGCC